GGTTGACTTGCTTTCGTTCTGGTATGCCTGGAAGTCAGAATCGGTATAACCTAATAGAAGCAATTCATCTGCTTGGTAAATCAACATGTACTCCTTAGTCCTCCGTAGGTACTTGAGTATATGCTTTACCGCAGACCAATGTTCCGGTCCTGGATTACTTTGATATCTTGCTACCATGCCCACGACATAACAAATATTAGGTCGCGTACACAACATCGTATACACAAGGCTTCCTACTGTCGATGCATAAGGAACTGCCTTCATGTTCTCTATCTCTTGAGGTGTCTTCAGGGACATCTTCTTAGATAGAGGTATTCCATGCCGAAAGGGTAAATCCCCTTTTTTTGGAATCCTGCATGTTGAAATGCTTTAGGACAGTATCTATGTATGTGGATTGGGATAGACACAACATTCTCTTCTCTCGGTCCCGAATGACTTTGATTCCGAGAATATGTTCTACTTCTCCCAGATCCTTCATATCAAACTGCATAGGTAACCATACCTTTACTTCTGATAACATCTTCACACTGTTTCCAATGAGAAGAATATCATCTACGTATAGCACAAGAAACACCACCACGTTTCCATCACTTTTCTTGTACACGCAGTGGTCATCTGAACATTGGGTAAATCCATATGATTGGACAACCTCGTCAAAACGGATGTTCCAAGACCTCGAAGCCTGCTTTATTCCATAAATGAACCTCTTCAGCTTACAGACCAGATGCGCTTGTCCCTTTGCAAAAATCCTTCTGCTTGCTGTATATAGATGTCCTCATCCAAATTCCCGTTAAGGAAAGCGGTCATAACATCCATTTGCCAAATCTCATAATCCATATGAGCGGCTACAGCCAAGAGAATCCTGATGGATTTGATCATGACTAACGGTGAAAAAGTTTCCTCATAATCGATCCCCTCTTTCTGAGTGTACCCTTTTGCAACAAGCCTAGCTTTGAAGGTCTCAACCTTCCCATCTGCTCCTCTCTTTATCTTATGGGCTAGAATTAATGGCCATAATAGTGGGATTTATTTCTACAATTTATTATTGCTATTAGTTATTATGCATGATTAATTATTTACTTTGGCGCATGTGATTAATTATTGGAATTGCATAAGTAAAAATTTTAATTTAAAAATTATACTAAGTTTGATAAGGATATTTAAAATTAAAGATAAATTTAAATTCCTATGGCCTTCATTTCTGGTTTGTTGGTAAATCAGTTAATCGAAGTGTGGGGTCCCCCACGGGTAACACTACCTAGATTAACTGTAAGATATTACCAGAACGAACTTCTATTAAATGATTAGAGGAATTAATATGGAGCGTAGGAGCCCCGCCACCGAGGACATAAAATCCTACATGATGACCTTAGGATCAGGACGGTTAGAGAAAATCTTATGAGAGCATACGGGCCTCCCCAGAGGGGACGTATAATCGATTTTGACGACCTCAGGACCGAGAAATTGGTTTCACTTAGAATGCGATAAATTTTATAAACTCCCAACGGGGTCCCTGATTTTTATTGCATGGCCAAAAAAAGACCGACTATTAATTTCGTTTGCCATGAATTGGGTTTTGGCTTATGGAAATTAATGTGTTTTTGAAAAGCCCTTCTCTGGCGAATGTAGATTGCGTAGAGCGACCCACATAGCATACGTCACTCTCGGTGTTTTGAGATGTCAGTGAATTTAAGTTAATGTTGTTTGAGGATATCAAACTGATAAACTCAAAATGTTTAATTAGTAAAATTGTTTCGTGATTCTCTAGCTTATTCAATTATGCCTTTAAATCTGTTGTCCTTTATTCTTAATGATAATTTACTGTTCGAAATTGATTAGAAATAGAATTTTGATATTGTAATAAGTTGCTGGGAAGTACGAGCCGTAGGGTGAGTGTCTCCGGTTTAAGCAAAAGTACATAAAAAGTCAGACTAACCTATTCTTAAGATAATAAAGGTAAATTTTATTCACTCAGAAGTCGAAATATTTCTAGGAAATGTAATCGACTGAGTGGTAGGTAGATTTCCATCTAGAATGGGTAATGCTACGAACTTGGCAGTTATTGCACTGGGAGGTTTTTGTGTATAGAATTATTTGGTTTTGAGTAATTATCTTTGCGTACCAAGTTTTAGAAAGAATTCAGTTTCAGTTTCTTAATTGTGTATGGATATAATGTATTGTTTGATGGCAAGTGTGATGTCTAGAAAATGAAACATTTATTTATTCGGTACGTGGGTAGATAATAGTTGACTGAAGTAACCAAAAGTTCTCACACTGCAATAAATGGAAGTAAGTGACACGTTGACTAAAACCAATAAGAGACAAGGTCTCTTGGGCACATTGGCTAAGTCAATGATGAGTTACTAGGGATCTTTCAAGTTTTTCATTTTTGGGGTTGTGCAGATAATGACATAAGTTCTGAGCAAAGTACGATCTAGATTAGTAGCCTATACTTCGAAATGATTATGGACAAGGGTGAAACACTGTCAGAACATTTTCGAATTTGGAGTATTTTTTGGCATCCGCTGAAATGTTGATACCAATAAGATCAAAAAGTTGTTCGGAAAATTGGTTGTTTGTAGGATAATCCATAGAACGAAAAATATGGTTTACAGTACTTACAATCAGAAGGTGATCATTAAAACGAATGCCTGATTTATAGAAGAATACTAAGTGATAAACCAAATGCCCATTAGAAGAGTTGTCATACGGAGAGATAAAGGTGAAAGTTCAAACTTCGTTACCGCGTATATAAAATATTATACCGCAATAAGACTGCAAACACGTGTCTCTAGTAATACACTTTTGCCGGAGGTACTTTATCGTAGTGGGAGGATTGCTATGCAGCAACATGGATTCATGTTGATGAGAGAGTCGTGGACTCAGTCTCTAGACTACACGAAGACATGAATTCATGTTCTTGAGAAATGTCATTGGACTTAGTCTCTAGAGAATGTGAAATAAATCCCTAGTTATACGATAAGATGTTCATTGTAGTGGGAGTGTTGTATGAAAACTACCATAGATTCATGTTTAATGTGAGAGTCCTAGACTCAGTCTATGGTAAGCATAAAAGTATGAGTTCACATTTTTTAGAAGAGTCTTTGGACTTAGTATCTGGTGAACGTAGAATTAATCCCTGTTTATACAATGAGAATCTCTGAGACAGTAGATGCAGGAACTTAGCAAACAATAATGATTTATGATATAGGGTCTTGGACTCAATCGGTTATGGGATCTTGTAGAACCACTAAGTGGCATAACGCCATTGGGGTTAATTGATCTACGAGTAAATTTGTTTAGACTTCTACAAGTAGGCTTGTTGTGAAATAATGAACTCAGAAAGAAGTTAGATCTATTATGAGTTAAGCTTTTCACCAGTAGCCATATTTGAGTCTATATAAATTTTAGGCTGAGGCCACTCATATGTAATATGATTTTGGCATTGTGGATATCAAGACGAGGTCTTGAAGGAAGATCCATGAAGAAGCACCCAGAAAGGTTCATTGTAGATTGCTAAGAGCATCTAGTCGGTAAAACGAAATGGTCTATTTTCGGACTTGAGTAAGTTTTATTATCCGATACATTTGGTTGATCAAGTTTGTGGATATGATCAGTCACCAAATGAGCATTGTATGTTTATGAGAAACGTGGTGGTATTTTTATACTATGCGTAGATGGCATTTCGATCACTTGAAAAAGGATAAGGATATTGTCAGACGCAGAGGTAAGGTTATCCAAGCAGTTAGATGTGAAACATTTGGAGAAATCGGCACATGCTCTTGAGATCAAGGATCACATAAAAATGATTGTTTTGATTTTCCCGAATTTCTATCTATAGACTGTTATAATACTCATTTGAAGCATATGTGACATAAAGGCAGTTCCTTATGCTTGGCAATAGAAAGCCAAAATATGTACAATGCAGTAAATGAGGCCTGATATCTATTATTGCCAAGAGCATAGTTTACAGATATCGTAGTAATCCTAGTTAGGTGCAATTGGTTCATAGTAGAACATATGATCAAGTGCCATAAAAGTGCTAAGGATAATATGTAGAGTTACCAAAGAAACCATATGCAACCTATGGATTACAATTGATGCTGATTTCTAATCAGACATGAACTATAAAGTAAAATCCACATCGGGATTTGTGTTCACTTGTGAGGTGGAACCAAAGGTTTGGATTCAGTAACCTCTATTGAACTCGAAATATGAAGATCCTTGTTTGCCGAAGTCAGATCACAATTTGACTGTGATGACAGTTGGTGCAACTACAAATAGAAAGGATATACAAGTTCATAAGGCAAGTGAACGCATAGAGCAGGTACGACCCAGTGTGATGATTCGCACAAGGGTAGAGTTTTGTCACCTAGTTACGTCAGTAGACGACCCGAAAGACGTTTTTGGAATTGGCATTCCGGCGAAAGCCGTTGATGACCATGATAAGGGATTGGAGAGTCGGATGTATAGCAGTTAGGACAATAGTTCTTTGAGAATAAAGATTGAAAGAAGTATACTAGTAAAGCGGATGCTTTAAGTATAAGTGGGAGATCGTTGGTGTTTATACTGAAAGCTTAGCTTTAGATGTGTTGTTGTGTGATTGTTAACAACGATTGTGGATATGCTGAATTACGTAATCTGAATAGGTTAGACGTTAGACATGCAATCAACACTCAACAATGGCCCCGATCCGAGGTGAACCGAGGTGAAAAGCTACAGTGAGCTGTTACGTGTTTTATGATAAAAATTCAGTTCGGGGATCCCCCGTACAAGTATCAGGAGTTCACTATTTATAGTAACTTTTTGAGATACATATCGGGATTCGTGCGCTGCCTTTTTCATAAAACTACTTTTGATGGGCGGTATTTGTCAGCGGGTCCCACTCGACCTCGTAGTTTGCAAAAATGGTGTGTAGGCGCCTTATCACCAGCTTGGGAGGTGGCGACCTCAGTTCATAGAGACTTCAGTTTTGGGTTGACTTCGGTTGTGAAGGTCACCTCGGTCTTCTATAGCTTGGTCGGTTCGGTATGCGGACCGGGATGACTGTTGGCTGTGTCATTGCTGGTAATAATCCATCTAAAACGCGGTTTGAGGCTAATAACTTCGGATTACCGAGTTGGGTGATAACAGAGAGGCCCCCAGTATCGGCGGGCGTACGAAGTGATGTCCGTCGGTACTGCAAAATGAATAGAGATTCTGACTCGGTAATAAGCTGTAGGGCGGGAATGCTCGTTTGGAGGTGCTTGTATATACGAAGTAATCGAAGTGGATCGTGTATTCCGAGATGGAGACTGAATTCCGAGGTGAGAACACTTGGCGAAAATTTGTGCTAAATCTTTGCAGCACTGAATAAGATCTGAAGAGACGTAACGGTCGGGCATTTAATGAACAGCGTGAAGGGTCGCGCCGTAATGGTCTTAAATGCAATAACGGCTACTTTAATGAAATAACGGCCACTTTGTTGCACCGTTTGAGATTAGAGGTCGCGTCGGTTACACGTGCCTTTAATTGAGAACTCTAACGGTCAGAAATTAGGAATTATAAATAGGGCATCGAGGGTTTTAATTAAACATTCTTTGCTTTTGCTTTCATCTTCAAATCTTGCAAACTGCTATCGAAATTCTTCTGCAAATTTGAGATTTGTTCTTTGTGCATGATTGTCTGTTCGCTGATTCCTTGGTAAGCTTCGTTGTTGATTTTAATCTATTTCCTTGTTATGTATTTTTGTTTTTGTTCGATGGCGTTGAAAGGAAAGGGTAAGGCCGTTGCGAGTTCTTCTAGTACCGAGTCGGTTCCGTTGGAGGTGTATCATGACTCGGAATTGGTGGAATTAGCTTTTGAGTATCATCGGTGGGATACGATGTTGGTGAGACATCTCGATATCAAACCGAACGACGAGAATGGTGATAATGTTGTAGAGGAGAACGCCACAGATCTTGAGGAGCATTGGAGGAGACTGGTAAGGAGGTGGCCTGATCCTACGGTTGATTTTGAAGGTGAGCCCAACATTTTAACGGATACCGACGTGGTGATGCTCCGGGAACAGATCCGGATTCCACCTTCGGTGAGGATTTTTGCGCCCTACCCCGGGGAGAGAATAACCAGCCCTCCTCTGGGCTGCGTCAGTGTATTTGCGGAGAGCTTGAGGTCGGGGTTGAGATTACCCTTGCCAAATTTGATTACAGAGTACCTCCGAAGTTGGGGGTTACCCTTGTGCCAAATAACACCAAATAGTTGGAAGAAAATCATAGGACTGATGGTGTTGTTACACGAGAGGGGCGAAGGTTTGCCGTCGTGTGAGGAAATCAAAAGCATTTATGCTTTTAAAAAGAGTCCGAAGAGGAGAGTGGCGGAATCTTCGTGTTGTTTCTTTGCCGGGGCAAAGCCTCAACATGGTCTTCAAGTCGGTGAGATAATAACTTACATCCCGGAAACACTTCACGGTTTTCAGGAAGAGTGGCTGTGGGTCGGTGGGGCATGGCAGTCTGAAAGCTTTTTCCATGAACCTCGGATAGACGGGATGACGATTCCGATGCATATTCATTCAGGAGCGAGTGAGTTTATTTTGTTATTCGGTCCCTTGATATTTTTCTGACATCGGTTTTATTTTGTGTACTAACAGGTCGGTACTTTTCCTGTTTGTAGAGAAGGAGAAAAAACAGAAAGAACCTAAGCTCAGTCCAGAATTCGGTCGGAAATTGCTGGTACTCGCCGACCTCGATAAAGATATCCGAGACTACAAGAAACTTGTGGTAGATTCGAAACTTGAAGCCGCTGGTCTGTCTCCGGGAGTCTCGACTTCTGAATTTGAACCCGGTAAGAAAAATTTAGCATGCTGGGACTTATTAATATTTCGATATACGCGAAATAGTTATCATTAACTCTTCAGTTTTTATGTCTTTGTATAGTGTGCTATCTGTTACTGGGATTCTCTTGTTATCGAACAATCAAGGACGCTAAAGATTTCAAGCGTAATTATCCGAACAAGGATCTTCAATCAAAATTTGGTAAGAGCCGAGACTTGCGATTGACTAACGCCATGAGGAGAGACTTAGTACGAGCGTTGGTGAAGAGGACTGCAGCACGGAAGTCAGCCGACGTTGGGGCGGGTGCGATGTCGGCAGTTAACACGGAGAAAACAAGGTCTCCACAGGAAGTGACGTCCTCCGAGGTGCCACCAGTTATTGATGCTCCAGTAATCAATCAAGTTGAGCCGGAGGAAAGTTTGAAGGGTACCGAATTGGTTGTAACCGAAGAAGCGCATACCGAAGTGCCTGAGAAGCAGTCATCTCCTCCGAAGTCACTGGAGATTGTACAACCGGAGAAGAAGAAGAAGCGTAAATTAGTAAAGATGTCTGATATGGAAGCTTCTTTCAGAGTGGAGAAGATATCGAAGAAGAAACACGACTCCGGTCGTAGAGCCTCAGAGAAGGGCACTGATGAATCTCCTCTATTTGAGAAGTCATTTCTGTCTATCGATGATGAACGAGCTGTCAATGTAAAGGTGCCCAAAGGTGTGGTCGAGGAGTGGTTCACCACTTTTCAATCAGTCAAAGCTCCTCACATGTCCTCGAGGATTGATATACCGGAAAATGCAAAGAGTGCAGCACGCGTGCCTCTGATGGTGTGGGACCCCAAATCCGAAGTGGGGGTATCCTCCTTGCCGAGCGTGGATAAATTAAGTTATGCTAAGGCTTGTTTGGGTCGAGCCTTAGTGAGTCTGGTGGCGGCTGAGGACGATCACAGCCGAATTGCTGCCCAACTGGAGGGGAAGAAACAGACTGTGGTTGAACGAGATGCAATGATTGCATCTTTGAAGGATGAGACAACTAAGGTTGAGGCGGGCTTGAAGGAAAAAATATCTGACCGAGATGCTCAGCTTGAGGTAATGCAGAAAGAGGTGACCGCATTATCTGAAGAAAAGAAGTCCCTTCAAACCGAGGTGGAGGAACTTAAAGCGCGCTTGGCCTTTGCTGAGCAACATTCCAGAGCCTTAGAAAATAAAGCCGAGGAGATGGAGGGCAAGCTGTCGGTTGAAAAAACTGAGCACGAGGAGACCCGGAAGAGCCGTGATGAGGCCAAAGCTTGTATTGCCCGAGATCGTGATGCCCATCAAGCGGCAATGGCTAAGTTGGAAAAAGAAAAGTCCGCGTATGGTGAGACTATGTATGAGATTGGCTTTCAGGCCGGGAAAGACTCTGTTGCTGCAGTTGAAGTTCAAACCGGTGAAGAGGATGTCGCAGGTGCTGTTGACACCGAAGTAGAAGAGGAAGCTGGCCCGAACTTGAAACTGGAAATGAACACTTGCCTAACACTTCGGTGGGTCATCGAGCGATACAACGCGGGTTACTATGACATCGATGAACTCTGCTTCTTGTTGTTCCATAAACTTAAAAAATACATCTTTGATACATCGATGAACTCTGCTTCTTGTTGTTCCATAAACTTAAAAAATACATCTTTGATATGGAAATCAAAGGGATGCATATGGAAGCTTATGAAGATGAGAGAGAGTTCTGCGAATGGATGTTTCGCCAGGGTGACAAGATAGCAGCGAATCCGGACTTCCCTCCGCTTACTGAAGAAAGGGCGGCTCTTCTCCGTCGTGCCTATGTGAACATAATTCTGGAAGGGGAGAAGGAGAAGAGAAAAGAACTGGCCGACATATATATCTCAACTCTTGCGGATGTGAAGGTCGAGCAAAATTTTGACGACATGACTCCTGAGCAAATTCGGAACACAGTCAAAGCTTATATTGAAGAGAAGGACAAGTCGGCGGACAGGGAGGTTGAAATAATTAAAGTTGTTCCACCGGTGGAGGGCAAATCCGACGAAGTACAAGATCCTCGCAACGAGTTCGTTCCGATGTCGGATGCGGCTATTGATGCTGCAGCCAAAGCGAAAGAGATTGTCGTCCTAGAACGACTCCAGCAACAGTTGTCCACTGAAATAGAGGTCGGAGAGGGTAGCGGTCAAGGCAGAAAGGATGAGATAAAGCCGCCTAGAGTTGTATAAATGTTATCTTTTATGTTTTGTTTAAGTAATGAATTGGGGACGTCAGGATGTTGACTCCCTTAGTAGGAAATATGTAAGGAATTTTTCTGACTTTATAATATGAATTTAGCATGTTTGCATGATTTCAATTCTTATTTGTGTTTGCTGTGCAAAATTCAGCAATTTTTAGACCAAGTGTTATGAACTCGGTGCAAATATAAGACTGGCCTTTTAGCTCGGATTTATTTATATTGATAACCGAGTTGTGGGCTTTTTGTAAAAATAAATTCCGAGTTCCACGTTGATCTTTTTTAATGAATTCGGCTAATAGTGTAAGTCGGTATGCAAACTTACTAAGAATTTGCAGAACTTAACACATTCCGAGCCGTGCATAAGACAAATAGAGTTCATCGAACTTCGTCAGAGTCCGATTATGAAGTGGCCCCAACCGAGTTATTCATTTCGTTTTTGGTTGTTAGCAGGACCCGTCAAATCATGTTTGCTGAGGTGACGTGGACAAGCTTCAACCCCAACCAAACCATGCGTGGGATTTGGATGTATTACGGGGTATCAGCGAGATCGAGTGTCACAATGTTTACATCGGTACAAAATAATGATAGAATCGAGTGTCAAAATATTTTACATCGGTACGAGCTGTTGCTCGGATTTCAAAAGTGAAAGTCTTCAAACTTTCATTACATCAAAAGAGTATTTTTGTTCCTTCAGAAAGTCAAAAGGAGGAACTATCAAAAGGGGGTTGTCCGTTCGACTGCGGATCATTCATTGGTAGAACTTCTTTAGGAATACAGCATTCCATGGATATTGATGTGGGGTCCCGTCACGATGAGCTATCCGGTATGCTCCGCGGGGTAAGACCTCGATGATCTGGAAAGGTCCCTCCCATTTCGGTTTAAGTGGACCGGGATCAGGCCCCATTATTCTTTTGAGGACTAGATCGCCAATTCAGAATGAACGAGGTTTACATTTGGAATTGATATATCTCTCGCTTATGTGTTTATAAGCAGCATTTTTAAGTTCGGCGCGAGTACGATGTTCTTCAAGCAGGTCCAAATTGGCTTTCATATTGTCCGAGTCAGACTCTTCGGTAAAATGCAGAATCCGGTAAGTCGGTTCACCGAGTTCGACTGGGACCACAACTTCTGAACCGTAAGTTAGTGAGAATGGAGTTTCGCCAGTGGAAGTCCTTGTAGTTGTTCGATAGGCCCATAGGACGTGCGGCAGCTCTTCAGGCCAGGCCCATTTGGCAGCATCAAGTCGGAATTTGAGGCCATTCTTTATAAGCTTATTAACAGCTTCAACTTGGCCGTTGGATTGTGGATGGTAGGGTGAAGAGAAGAAGTGTTTGATGTTATATTCTTCGCAAAGAGCTTCAAGCTGCTTGCCTTCGAATTGTCGACCGTTGTCAGTGATAATTGAGTTCGGTACTCCAAAGCGGCAAATGATGGACTTCCATATAAAATCAAGAACTTTTTGTTCGGTTATCGTGGCCAATGGTTCGGCTTCAGCCCATTTAGTAAAGTAATCAACCGCAACAATAGCAAATCGGACGCCGCCTTTTCCGGTTGGTAGGGGACCGATGAGGTCGATTCCTCATTTAGCGAAAGGCCATGGACTGTAGATTGATTTGAGCTCTTCGGGGGATTGATGAACGTTAGGCGCAAACAGTTGGCACTTCGGGCATTTACGGACCCATGCAGCAGCGTCGGTTTTTAAGGTCGGCCAGTAATATCTTTGTCGCAAAATCTTATAAGACAAAGCTTGGGCACCGGGGTGGCTTCCATAAATTCCTTCATTTACCTCTTCAAGAACGTATCGCGATTCGGATTCAGTCAAACATTTTAGAAGTGGGGCCGAATATCCTCTTTTGAATAAGGTTCTGTTGTCTAAAGTGTATCGAGCTGCTCAAATCCGAAGTGCCCGAGCTTCTTTAGGGTCCGGAGGTAAGGCCCCAGTTTCTAAGTATCGAATAATAGGATCCATCCAAGTCGGAGGTTTTTGTGATGTTGCCGGATTGATGGTTACCACTTCAAAAAGGAAGGTCGACAGGGTTGTTCTTGCTGGCCGATCTGGACATACTCCATGCTCTCCATCCCGGTACTCGAGGCTAGTCAGGATAATGCATCTGCCTGTACATTAAGAGTTCGGGGAATGTGTTCGACGTCGACAAAGAATTTTGATAACTTCTGTTTCGCCAAGGATAGATATGGTGACAACCGAGGCTCTTTGACTTCATACGCACCATTGATTTGATTGACTAGAAGTTGTGAGTCTGAGAAAACTTTAAGGTGCTTCACATTCATGGATTCTGCTAAATTCAGTCCAGATAGCAAAGCTTCATATTCGGCCTCGTTATTAGTGGCGGAAAACAGAAATTTAACCGAATGACAGAATAATCGGTTTTCCGGGTTGGCTAAAACTATCACTGCACCTGCTCAGTTTGCTATGGAGGACCCATCGATATAGAGGACCCACGGTTGGTCGTCGTTATACAGCCCTACCGCAGGCGTGAATTCGGCAATGAAGTCGGACATAACTTGTGCTTTGATTGCTGTCCTCGGTTGGTAGTGGATGTCGAGCTGTCCGAGTTCGACGGCCCATTTTATAATTCGCCCCGAGGTGTCAGGTCGGTTAGGACCTGTCGTAGTGGATACGAAATGCGAACAGTTATGGAATGCTCTTGAAAATAAGGTCGCAGTTTTCTAGCGGCAGTGACGAGGGCGAATGCCAGTTTTTCCATAGGAAGATAGCGAAGTTCGGCGTCATGAAGGGCCTTGCTGACATAATAAATGGGCGATTGGAGCACTCCGTCTTTGCGTATTAATACGGCGCTGATTGCTGTATCGCTAACTCCAAGGTACAAGAACAGCATTTCTTCCGGGATTGGTTTCTGTAACGTTGGAGGGGATGAGAGAGTTTCTTTAATGCTGGTGAGTGCTTTATGACATTCTTCGGTCCATTCAAAGCGTTTTCCTCTTTTGATAGCTTCGAAAAAAAGGCTTGAAACGATCCGTAGACTTGGAGATGAACCGATTAAGTGCGGCAAGTCGGCCAGTTAGGGCATGAACACCCTTGACTGAGGTCGGGGGAGTTAAATCTTGAATGGCTTTGATCTTGGCCGGATTGGCCTCGATTCCCCGTTGACTGACCATGTAACCGAGGAATTTCCCAGACTCGACTCTGAAGGTGCATTTTTTTTGGATTTAAGACCATGGAATAAGATCGAAGAATATTGAACATTTCCTGAAGATATGTGACATGGTCGGAGGCGTTCACCGACTTGACAAGCATGTCGTCTACGTAAACTTCCATGGTATGACCTATCAAATTGGCAAACATCTTGTTGACGAGACGCTGATAAGTGGCTCCGGCATTTTTTAATCCGAAGGGCATCATAGTATAGAAGTATAAGCCTCGAGCAGAATAGAACGCGGTGTACTCCGAGTCTTCGGGATCCATGGGAATTTGGTTATATCAAGAATAAGTGTCCATAAAGCTCATCATCTCGTGTCCCGAGGTGGCATCAACCATGTAATCTATGTGAGGAAGCGGGTAACTATCTTTTTGGCACGCTTTATTTAGGTCGGAGAAGTCAATACATAACCTCCAAAGGCCATTGCTTTTCTTGACGAGGACTGGGTTTGAGACCCATGTCGGATACTTGGCTTCCTTAATGAACTTGTTGTCTATGAGTTTCTTGACTTCCTCCTCCAATGCTTTCTGACGATCCGGTCCCAGCTTCCTTCGCTTTTGAACAACTGGTCAGACAGTTCGGTCAAGATTTAACTTGTGGCTAGCGACACCAGGGTCGATGCCCTTCATGTCTTCGTGTTTCCAGGCAAAAACATCAGAATTACTTCTAAGAAACGAGATGAGTTCAGACCGGAGAGGTTCTTGGAGATGACTGCCAATGCGCAGTGGTTTTTGACATGTTGGTTCGTCAATATGGATCAACTCCACTTCTTTTCCGGGTTAGGCTCGATCACTTCGAATTTTCTCTTTGAATTGAGTCCTTGGGTCTAATTCATCTTCTTCTGGGATTGGTTCTTTTCTGGATCATCTACCTCGTTCCTCAGATAAAGGGTCTGAAGTGTCGGGGACAACGACTTCATGACTTGGTTCCTCGGAAATTGTATTGTCCAAAGTGACGGATAGTGAGGAATTTTCTTCGTTGTCCAAAGTGGTGGAATGGACTCCGGTGGATGGTATGAAAGTGATAAGTTCTCGAGCTTCTCTTTGATCTCTGTAATGCGTTCCTTCACCACGTGTCGTCGGGAATTTAAGTGCATAATGAAAAATAGAAACCGCAGCTCGGAGTTTGTACAGAGCAGTCCTTCCGATGATTGCGTTATACTCGTTGTTGATGTCAAGAACTTTAAAAGTCTCCATAACAAGCTTGGTTACATGTTCGGGCGTGCCAAATCTGACAGGTAGGGTGATTTCGCCAATGGGCTTCGAGATGCTTCCATTAAACCCCTGTATTTGATCATTACAAGGTCGGATATTCGCTGGGTCGAGACCCATTTTGTCAAAGGCTTTTAGCATCAAAATACTTGAGTAGGCCCCAGTATCGACCATGACACGGTGAACCGGGATCCCATATATTGGAACGGTGATGACAAGTGCGTCGGAATGAGGGTGAGCAAAATGATTTGCATCTTCCATGTTGAAAATAATGGGGCAGTTTCGGGCATTGAGAACGTCTCGCAGATCGGTGGTGAAAACACGCTTGTCCGAATTATAGGCTTGTCGGGCGTAAACTTTGACTTGCCGACGAGATAGGGTACCTCCGGAATTATTTGTATTTACTCGGTGAACGGTGATTTGCATCGGACAAGGAGATCGACTTCGTTTAAGTCCTCGGGAGTTTCCGGTTGACTCAACATTGAGCATTTCCGAGGTGAACATGAACACTTCTTTCTCTCTCTGCTGAATTCGCTTTAGCGCAATACCTCGGTCTTCATCCTCATCTTCATCATAGGATTCGATTTGATGTCCCGGCCCTTGTTTCTGGGTATCAGAGTTGCGATAGAATTTCTTGAGTTGCGGATGACCGATTAAACGTAAAAGAGCAGTCAAAAGACTTAGGCATTCATTAGTGTTGTGCCCCGGTGATTTATGATAGTCACAATATCGAAACTTATCCAATTTTTCCTCAGGCATCCAAAGTGGTTTGGGATCGGGCAGAATGCCCTTTCATTTAACCGGATTTGATAACCGGATTTCACGTCGGTAGCGTACTGTTTTCGAGCTGCCCTGATTTTGGGGTCATTGGCATCTCCTCGGGGGTAACCTCGAAATTGAGCTTTGTTTTGCTTATCAAAGGACTTGTTTTTCTTCCTGTCATCGGTTCCCGACTTGGATGACTTCGGATTGAAATTAAAATCGGGGACCGACATCGCTTCCTCAGCAATGATATGTTGCTGGGCACGGGCAAGGAATTCATGGAAGGTGTTTGGCTTATTCTGACATAATGTCCAGCGAAAAATAGAATTCGGTTTCAGTCCCGCAATAGCCATAACAAGCAGGGTTTCGGGATGACATGGCTCCATATTCTGAACTCGGTCATTAAATCGAGCAATATAATCCTTGACACTTTCATCGTCTTTTTGAGTTACATTCGCAAGAGATTCTTTTGGATCCAAACAAACTTGGGCCCCAATGAAGTGAGATCGGAAAGCCGACCTCAGCTGTTGCCACTTCCAAATCGAATGAGGGGGTAAAGAGTGGTACCATTTTTTAGCTCGAGGTCCCAGAGTAAGAGAAAACATGCGACACCGAAGTGCGTCTGAGGCCCCATGGAGATCCATCCATGAGGTGTAGTGACCGAGGTGTGAGTCGGGATCCGACGTTCCATCATATAATCTGATTTGAGGGACTTTGACTTTTCCCGGTACAGGTTTCGAAGTGAGCTCGGGTGTTAAAAGAGAGTCGGCTTCTAAATATACATGTGCCGAAGTAGAGGCTCGCCATGGAGGATCTTCTTGCGCCCTTTGCCGGCTTTCCAACTCGGCGATTCTTCGCCATAACACTTCTAATTCCGTGGATTCTTGCTGAGCTGATCGATTTCTTTCAATTTGCTGACGGAGGTTTGTGCGAGCCGGATGGGAATGAGCCTGAGGCCGCGCAGGTGGTGGAGAACGCCGTGGCTGTCCCGACTGACTTTCAGCGGTTTCTTCATGAGGGACCACCGGAGGAGTGCGCGCTGTCTCGGCATGCCGCACTACACGATCCGGGTGTGAAGGCGATGTTCGACTACGAGGCTGAGACGTAGCGTGAGACGTAGTTCCACCGCCGTCTCGTCGGGTAGACGGATTTCTCGGGTTTGCAGGGGTAGTAGGGATGATAGATTGTCCCGGCACCGTCGTTGACATCCCGGAAACATATTAAGCCATTAAGGCGGTGAACCTATGTGCGAACTCCAGATTTTGAAATAGAGTGGTGTAATTTGGTAGGTTGGGTATAGCCGCAGGACGCCTAGCAGAGTGATTGCTGCGACTGTGCCCTTCACGCGACGTATGTCCATGGTGATCTGAATGAGACATATTTGCAGTGGTTGCTGTGGCTAAAGAGCCAAGAGTTGAAGATTAACCTCAAATAACTTATGACCCCTTCCTCTAGCGCCAAATTGTTGTTGTGTGATTATTAACAACGATTGTGGATATGCTGAATTACGTAACCTGAATAGGTTAGACGCTAGACATGCAATCAACACTCAACAATGGCCCCGGTCCGAGGTGAACCGAGGTAAAAAGCTACAGTGAGCTGTTACGTGTTTCATGACAAAAATTTGGTTCGGGGATCCCCCGTACAAGTATCAGGAGTTCACTATTTATAGTAACTTTTTGAAATACATATCGGGATTCGTGCGCTGCCTTTTTCATAAAGCTACTTTTGATGGGCGGTATTTGTCAGCGGGTCCCACTCGACCTCGTAGTTTGCAAAAATGGTGTGTAGGCGCCTTGTCACCAGCTTGGGAGGTGGCGACCTCGGTTCATAGAGACTTCGGTTTTGGATTGACCTCGGTTGTGAAGGTCACCTTGGTCTTCTATAGCTTGGCCGGTTCGGTATGCGGACTGGGATGACTGTTGGCCGTGTCATTGCTGGTAATAATCCATCTAAAACGCAGTTTAAGGCTAATAACTTTGTATTACCGAGTTGGGTGATAACAAGATGTATTTACACTGAACCCGTTTGAATGAGTATCATGTTTAATTAAACAAGTCCATGTTCTATTGTTTTGCACTTAGGTAGAATGCATCGTTAGCGGGAGAACAGAAGATCAATCTATCAGTTACTTACGAAACAAGAATTGTGGTTCACAACCTAGATGGAAATGAAAACCCCATCCGAACGGTTGTAGTGTTAATCATACAGCTGGTCTTGACTGATTGGTTACACTAGTACACTTTGTGTATTAAACGGATCCCAGAGAGGAACAGTTCGTTGTATACTAATCGTCGTAAACGAACTACGCCTCGGTTAATTACTGTGTTTTCTTAACCCGTAAGATATTAAACAGACATATATATGCAGTATATATTACTTTAATTTACATGGGTGGGGTTTAGTGAACTGGATCAATAGACCCTATGTCTTGGGTAATATTGTTGCATGTATGATCTGTTTTTAGGATATTTACGGTCACCGTGTGTGCTAGTTTGATGATGTCCCCGATATGAGCTCATGAAAGATTATTATGTTATATCTGGCTAGTGAAATTTATTCCGACCTAATAATAATGTGATGAGTGGTACTAGTCTCGGTTATAGATGTCGATTAATTTAATTATCAGTAATTAAATTAATAGATGGACATTATATTTTAACACAGGGAGATAAATCGAGTAATTATTATTGGAGCTCGAATATAATTCGGGAATTAAATTGAGAGTTTATTCAATCATACTACTTTAGTGGAGTGTATGTAATATTCCTATTTGGGTTTGGTAGGCTTGGCCTATAGTCTAATCCAAACAAGAGAAGCCCAATTTAATACCTCCTTAGGGTCCTTGTTGTAGCCTATAAATACATCACATCTCTTGGGATTAGGAGATTAAGTCTTTCATAATCAGCTACACGATTTGGAGAAAAATGCCGCCCCCTCTGTTTTCTCTCCCTTGTGTTCTCTTCTTCTTCTTCTCCAAGTAATCCTAGTAGAGATAGATCTGATTTCATCGCCCACCAAAATGATCGGATTAGATTTCGGGTCATACAACAGAAGATCTAAGGTGATCGAGCGATTTATATATATTTATCCAACCCCATAATATATATAGATATTCAACCCCGTAATTTTATTCGTAATTCGTGGGGTTGTCCGTTCTACACGAAAAAGACAGAATTGTGCAAATCAGATATATTGGTAGTGACTGGTGACCTATGACGACCATCCCACAATGACTGACGTAATTCCAGCGACCAGCCGTCGCTGGTCGCGGCAGCGCGGCAACACATGTGCCCTCTCGCACCTCCGAAGTGTACTGCAGATTTCTACGTGCCCAGCCCATCTCACATGGCAGATCTACGCGTGAAACCTGTTAGGAGCCGGCCCAATTCGTCATCGCGGTCCAGTTGGTGAGGTGGCCTGCGCAGCCCATCGATGCGAAGGCCCAACAGACGAGGAAGGCCCAGCGCTCGTGCCACACGGCCCGCACCTATCACATGCTTAGCCCGCCAAAGACCCAAAGGGAGCCCGCGCGTCCTCAGCCCAATTCCTTGTGGCCAAGCAGCGCCTCCCACGGCCCATTTCCATCCATGGCGGCCCAGACGTCCAGATGTGCGGTCCAACATCCTTGAACCCAACCCAACTCACTTCAGAACCGGCCCAGGTGCTCCCAGCCAGTCCAGACCATGACCAACTCTTCTTAGCTCGGCCCAGAAGCGACCAGAATGATCCAGAGTGATCCAGAGCAGTCCAGCAGGTTCGGGTAAGTGTTGGAACCCATGAGGATCTCGATATGCACAAATCACGGACAAACATTCAACATAAACCTATGCGCAGCGGATCTAAAGGTTTGATGAAGAAAACTTACTGCTTAAAATTTATGTAGATCTGGATGGCCCGAACAGTTGACCGCAAATCAAATCTTCTCGGAATCGAACAAACTTGACCAATCCAGAAAGCTGACATGACGGCAAAGTCAACGGCGTTGACCGGTCAGAAAACGGCCTTCTC